CAGATGCAGGTAGGTGGTGGAGGCATGTGGAGATTCTTTCAGATTGCTTCTATTTTCTCCAGGAAGTTGAGAGCAAGACCATCAACAGAGTGAGCAGAGAGGAGGAGGGGGTGGAGGTTGGAGGAGAGAGGGGAATAAAATAGTTTTCGGGGTGGGCGGAAGAGTGCACAGAACTAAGGAAATCCAAGAGCGCTGGTGATCAACACAAACAGCATTTGAGGGTCATGAATTTAAATGAGACTAGCCAGTTCGGAGGCATGTTTTTTTTAGCTGTTTGGGTGAAGGCTGAAGTCACAGCAGTGGATTTTTGCCACATGAATATGATGGAAGGAGAGGGGGCCAGGGAGTTAAGCGTGTATGCAATGGACTAATTATAATAATGAGGCATGGAATCAAAGCTGAGGAAGTGTGAAGGGTGGATGTGACGGGGATAGGGGATGGTGAAGGGAGGTTGATTCTACCTCCTTTTCATGAAAGACAAGGCTGGGTGAGGTGGCTCATGCCTATAATCTCAGCACTTTGGGAGGCCGAGGAAGGTGGATAACCTGAGGTCAGGAGTTCGAGAGCAGCCTGGCCAACATGGTGAAATTCAGTCTCTACTAAAAATACAAAAAATTAGCTGGACATGGTGTCACATGCTTGTAATACCAACTACTCAGGAGGCTGAGGCAGGAGAATCACTTGAACCCAGGAGAGATCACGCCACTGAACTCTGGCCTGGGCAACATAGTGAGACTCTGTCTCAAAAAACAAAAAAGACAAGGTCAATTTATTCACAGTAGGTACAGGGCCTAAGTCCCGTAATACTTTTAAGGACCCGCAAAATGTTTTTATTTTGAATTTATTTTAAAATCAGAAGGGAAAATGAATACAATAAAAATGTGTATAATAATGAATTCAACCTGGATTATATTAGTCTTTATACTAATGTAGTTATACAATATAATATTTAATATTCTTATGTGGAGGAAGGGGCCCACTAAGGTGAAATGGCTAGGGCCCATGAAAGCCATAATGTGGTTTTTGTGAGAGATCCCAGTGGGTTAGTAGACTTGTTTGAGCCAAGGTGCTAGAGGTCATGGGCTGGAAAGCTAGGAGTTGGTAATAGGAAAGTATGATAATTAAAATAGAGATGATGGAGTATATGAAGCTGTTGGTAGCAACAAGGTTTAGGGTGGGATCATCTTTCTCACTGGAGGGGAAGAAATCAAGGAAATGAGAAGCTGGTTTTATCACATATCTATTGCTATATTAACAAACCATCTCAAAATTTAGTGGCTTAAAACAATGACCATTTATTTGCTAATGGCTTGGCAATATGGGCTGGGCTCTGCTGAGCAGTTCTTCTGTTGGTCTTGCCTAGGTTCACTCATGGGGCTGCAGTCATCTGGAAGCTTGACTGGGGCCAGGTAATCTAATAGGACTGCATGTCCAATGTTGTTGGGCAGGGTACCTCAGCTCTCCTAAACTGGGTTTTTCATCTTCCAGTAGGCTAGATGGACTTCTTGACCTGATGTTGCAAAGTGGCAAGCTGCAGTCTCTTCAGACCTAGACTCTAGGAACTCACACAACATTTCTACCCCATTCTATCAGCTAAAGCAAGTCATAAGGCCAGCCCACATGCAAGCAAGAGGTTAAGAAATAGATTCCACCTCTTTCTGGGAAAAGCAGCAAAATAATTGCAAAGTGTCTTGTGGAACAAGAGGAAGAAGAGTGGCCATCTCTGCCACTATCATACTTATTGGAAGAACTGTTTATGTCATATCGAATCATCAAGAATCACCAAGAATTTGACAGAAGTGGGAGTGAAGGGATTGACAAGCCAGGTGCTAAAATCTTCAAAGCAGGAGGAAGCACTAAGTGATATTCTCTAATGCCATCAACTTCACATGCTTCAAATACCTTTATTGTTTCATGAATGAGTTTTCATACATTTCATCAGTTAAAAGGAATTTATTTTTCATGACTTCTTTGACTCAGTCACTCATCAGTTCAGACCTGATCCTAAGGAAGGAGCCTAAAACATGGGGAAAAAAACCTATCTTCATAAAAATGTGTGGCACTGGCCGGGCATGATGGCTCATACCTGTAATCCCAGCACTTTGGGAGGCTGAGGTGGGCGGATCACCTGGATCACCTGAGGTTAGGAATCCAAGACCAACCTGGCTAACATGGTGAAAACTTGTTTCTACTAAAAATTAAAAAAATTAACCAGGTGTGGTGGCACACACCTGTAATCCCAGCTACTCAGGAGGCTGAGGCAGGAGAATCGCTTGAACCCGGGAGGTGGAGGTTGAGGTGAGCTGAGATTGCACCATTGCACTCCATCTTGAGCAACAAGAGCAAAACTCTGTCTCAAACAATAAATAAATAAATATGTGTGGCACTAATATTTATCTGGGGGCTGTATCCTCAGTGCCTCTGGTATCTAATGGTAACATATGAGTACTCAATATTTTTTGAATGAATTTATAATGAGAAAAAAGTAAAAAACCCAAGCAGCCAATAATCAGCCAAATATAGTATATCTATTTACTATTAATAGAATATCACACAGCCATCAAAAATTATGCTTTTGAGAACTATCGATATATGATATGGAGTAAAAAAAGCAGGATACCATATTGTAGATACATTATGATGTTGCCTGTGTAAAACCATCTGGTTGGAAAAAAGGAATCAAAACAACAATAATAGTGGTTTTCTCAAGCTAATAGAATTGTGGGTGTTTTTTTTTTCTTTTTACTTTATTCTAAAAAAAAGTTAGGCTGGGCACAGTGACTCATCCCTGTAACCCCAGCTCTTTGGGATGCCAAGGCTGGTGGATCACTTGAGGTCACTTCAAGACTAGCCTGGCCAACATGGTGAAACCCCGTCTCAATTAAAAATTCAAAAATTAGCTGGGCGGGCTGGGCACAGTCGCTGACGCCTGTAATCTCAGCACCTTGGGAGGCCAAGGTGGGTGGATCACCTGAGGTCAGGAGTTGGAAACCAGCCTGGCCAACATGGTGAAACCCCCGCCTCTACTAAAAATAAAAAAATCAGCCCGCTGAGGTGGTGTACGCCTGTAATCCCAGCTACTCAGGAGGCTGAGGCAGGAGAATTGCTTGGAACCGGCAGGCGGAGGTTGCAATGAGCCGAGGTTGTACCACTGCACTCCAGCCTGGGTGACAGAATGAGACTCAAGAAAAGGAAAAGAAGTTATAGATGCTCATTGTAAAACAAACAAAAACTAAAGTGTTAATGCCGAAAAGTATCAATAGGAAAAAAAAAAACCAAACTTCTATAATTCCATCATCCAGAGCAAAGCAATGCCAAAGTAGGTTCTGCTTTGTTTCCGGCTTCCCCCACCCCACTTCACAAGTTCTTAGCTTTTTTAACATCTTCAGAAGTCAAAAAAAGTATTTTTAACAGTCACATAGGGTTAATGTACCATAATTTATTTGGCTGCAGTAATTTTTGAATTACAGGTTGTTTGCAATTTTTCACTGAAAAAAAATTTTAAACAAAATGAATGGTAGAGCCATGTCATTACTCAAATTCAGAGAGCTCTTCAGGGAAGAGGCCATCACAGTTGAGAGGAGGCCAGCTAGGGAGCTGGGTGGGTGTGAGTGTTATGTCCAATGGAGACTGCAGGAAAAATGAGCCCAGGAGCTCTGTGCCCATGGGGGTGGCTGTGTGAAGGTGAGAAGCTGCTCTGCATGGACTAGGGACTGCTCCTTCGGATGTTTTGAACTTAAAGAGGTGAGATCTCAATCTGATGGACTGGAGATGGATGTTAGTGTTCCTGACCTCTGCCCTCTTGTCCTGCACAAACTAGAAATTATGTTGTGGGTCCTTTTTATTTTTGAGACACAGTCTCTCACTGTCCCCTAAGGTGGAGTGCCGTGGCACGATCTCAGCTCACTGCAACCTCTGCACCTCCCGGGTTCTCAAGCGATTCTCCTGGTCAGCCTTCTGAGTAGCTGGGATTACAGGCGGGCGCCACCAGCCTGGTTAATTTCTGTATTTTTAGTAGAGACGGGGTTTCACCATGTTGGCTAGGCTAGTCTTGAACTCCTGGCCTCAGGTGGTCCGCCTGCCTCAGCCTCCCAAAGTGCGCCTGGCTGGGTCCTTGTCTTGAAATGTGTCAGGCCGGGCGCGGTGGCTCATGCCTATAATCCCAGCACTTTGGGAGGCCGAGGTGGGTGGATCACGAGGTTAAGAGATCGAGACCATCCTGGTCAACAAGGTGAAACTCCGTCTCTACTAAAAATACAAAAATTAGCTGGGCATGGTGGCGCACACCTGTAGTCCCAGCTACTTGGGAGGTTGAGGCAGGAGAAATTGCTTGAACCCAGGAGGCGGAGGTTGCGGTGAGCTGAGATCGTGCCATTGCACTCCAGCCTGGGTAACACGAGTGAAACTCCGTCTCAAAAAAAAAAAAAGAAATGTATCTCTGAGCCAGGAGCGGCAAAGAGGCCTGGAGGACAGACTTCCCCCACTGCCCCTACCTTACTCTCTCAATCTGAGCTCGGGGTTTGGGCAGTTGAGGATTACCCTGAGGCCAAGGACGAATGTCACTGGGTACCGGAGAAGGAACTCGGCGGTGGAGGGGGGAATTGCGCGCACATTTACAGAGTCCGGGGCATTCCCAGTCTAAGGAGGATTCTCAGAGGCGGTCACAAAAAGGAATGGGGTAGAAGAGCTGAGACTTGAGTGAGGGAAGGGTGCTGGAGGTAGGGCGGGGGTGGGGGTTGGGTGGATCGGGTTGATATTTGTATAGGGATAGGTTGATCCCGAAAGGCTGGAGACGGCGAGGAGGAGCGGAGGAGCACACAGATGAAGAGGGTGATAAAGGATTTTACAAGCGGAGAGGCGTGGGTTGGTGACAGGCGGAGGGCGGGGAGCGAGTGCCTGCGTGTACAGGGATCTATATGAGAAGCGTGAGGGGAGGCGGGCAGGCGAGGGCAGGGCTGGGGCGTGGGCCGCGGGGCGGGAAAGTGGGCATGGGAGATGGCAGAATAACGGGGTGGCGCGCCTCTGGCTTCTTAGTTTGCTCCCATTGAGACTCTTAAGATCTTCTTCTTTCTTGGAAGGAAGCTGGGTTGGGGAGTTGGGTGGCCGCGGAAGGCCGGGGCCCCGGGGCGCGCCGGGTGCTAGGTGTGCGCCGTGCGTCGCGGGGGGGTGGAGGCGGGCTCCGCCCCTGGCAGGGGGCCTGAACGCGTGCGAGGAGCCGCCGCCGCCGCTCGGGGTCGCCTGGAGCCCCAGATTCCCGAGCGCTCGGCTCGCATGGCAGCCGCTTGGGCGCCCGGCCCCGCGGCCAGCTAGGGGCGGCCCCGCGCTCCCGCCCGGCCCCTCGGCAGCGACCGTCGGATCCGGCCTCGCTCTGCGCCTCGGGGCACGCCGCCTCCCCGCGGGAGGTGAGGACTGCGGGGACTGGGCGCGCGGGGCTACGGGCGCCGCCGGGATTCCAGGCCCCGCGCCGCCGCCTAGCCCAGCGCGGCGGACATAGGAAGGGGACGTGGGAGCGAGTGGTGGGGGGGCTGTCGGAGCCGTGGGGCGGAGACTGCTTGCTGCTGGGAACCGTCCCTCCCTCCGGCCTCCGCGTCCCCTCCGTGCTCGAGGCCGCCTCTCTGCGCTGTCCCCATCCCGCAGACCCCTCTGTCCTGACTACGATCCCAGCCCCAGCTGTTCCCGCGCCTGGCCTCGCTCCGCGCTGCCCATCTTTCGCCTCCTTCTTGCAGACCCCGCTCCCGGGTTCCTGTCTTTGCTCCCCTCGCCTGCTCAACCATTCCCCGCCCCCGCCCTCCCGCTGTCCCCACCCCTTCTTCTGTCCCGGCGCCCCTCTCCCTCGTCGGCTCCTGTCACTTGGAACCGGTATCCGTGCCGCTGTCTCCGCATCCGGCCGCCTCCCAACCGGTGCCGTCCCACAGGTGTCCACGCGTCCGGCCGTCCATCCGTCTGTCCCTCCTGGGGCCGGCGCTGACCATGCCCAGCGGCTGCCGCTGTCTGCATCTCGTGTGCCTGTTGTGCATTCTGGGGGCTCCGGGTCAGCCTGTCCGAGGTGAGCGCTCCCGCGGGCTCCAGTCGCGGCCCTGTCCAGTGGTCCTCGCTTGCACGTTGACCTCTGCCGGCCGGAGACTGCACTGCAGCCGCTCCGACCCGCGGGGCAAACAAAACCGAGGTTGCCTCTTTGGAATGGGATGGGTTTCTGTGTTGTCCTGCCCTTGGGCTGAGTCCACTCAGTTACCGGAACCCCAATCCTCTTCTGAGTCCCCCATCCCAGGTAGCTGTGTCCTAAGACTCACCGCTCCCACATCAATCTCTTGCAGCCGATGACTGCAGCTCCCACTGTGACCTGGCCCACGGCTGCTGTGCACCTGACGGCTCCTGCAGGTACCTGTCCTGAGCACGTGCCCCCAAACCCTTTGGTCCCCATTTCCCAGCCCTTACATGCACAAGAGTGTCTAGGGGCTTCAGACTCTACTCTTCATGCCTCATTACTCCTATGGCTGACTGGCCAGCCCCCCTGTCCCCTTTACCACACCTCTGTTGCTTCTTCTAGTTTTTATCTCCCCACTTCTTTCATCTCCCAAGTCTGATTCAGGGATTCTATCTGAACCACTGCTCCTCAAGATACAGGGAAAGAGACCTAAAGCTTGAGATAGTTTGGGGATTGGGTGCCATGAGGAAATGGGGAGATAAAGGAAAGAGAGAAAGAGAAACGGTTTAGCCTGGAAAAGAAACGCTGCAGGGAGGGTTGCTGGAGAGAAACATTTATAATGAAAGAGGATCTTTCTTGAGTTTGAGTAGTTGGCTCACTGAGGTGGAGGGTGGAGATTGGGCAAATTCTGTAGCAGGAGGAAAGTGGACATAAAGAAATAAGCTGATAGGGCAGGTAGTTCAATTGGTTGGGGATCTTTGAGACTTTTCATCCCTGGAGGGCTTTTAAAATATGGGTTGAGTGTTTGCCCCGGAATTAGGGTGGGAGGATAGTTCTGATGACCCCCCCTTTTTTTTTTTTTTTTTGAGAGGGAGTCTCACTCTGTTGCCCAGGCTGGAGTGCAGTGGTGTGATCTCAGCTCACTGCAGCTCTGCCTCTTGGGTTCAAGTGGTTCTCCTATCTCAGCCTCTTCAACAACGGATTACAGATGCGCACCACCATGCCCGGGTAATGTTTTGTATTTTTAGTGGAGACGAGGTTTCACCCCATTGGCCAAGCTGGTCTTGAACTCCTGACCTCAAGTGATCCACCGGCCTCAGCCTCCCAAAGTGCTGGGATTACAGGTGTGAGCCACACCTGGTGCTGATGACCTTTCAAGGTCATTCTTCTTTAAATGTCTGTGAGCACCTCAGACGTGCCAGGAGGGGCACTGGAAGCATCTACGGACATTTTATTTCTTCCCCTACTCAACCCTGCAAGGTGTATCCCCAATTTACAGACAAGAAAACTGATGCTCAGGTTAGACAAAGTACAGAACCAGGGTTTGAGTGCTGATGTCTGATGGTCTGATTCTATATACATGTCCTATGACCCTGCACAGCCCTACACCTACCTGGGACAGGTCTGCTTTCCCTTAGGGGCTGTCATATGTCCTCTTGGTTTCTAGAAGCTCTAGTTCTGTCTCCTGCATTTCTTAACTTCCATGACCCAGAGCCCTGACCCCTGTGCTTCTCCGTCAGGTGCGACCCGGGCTGGGAGGGGCTGCACTGTGAGCGCTGTGTGAGGATGCCTGGCTGCCAGCATGGTACCTGCCACCAGCCATGGCAGTGCATCTGCCTCAGTGGTTGGGCGGGCAAGTTCTGTGACAAAGGTAGGGGAAGGAAGGGTAGCTGTTGGTTGGGAACCCTATGCTCTTAGGGGAACATCCATCAGTGTTTATTGAATGCCTATTGTGTCCTTGTCAAACCCTCAAATACATGGTATAATTTTTTATCTTATACTTTTTATATGTTGTCTGAATTGATCCTCACCATAACCCCACAGGATAGGAAACACAGCTGCTAAAAATTGTACTCATTTTTGAAACTAAGGCCCACAGAAGGGCTATAACCTGCTCAAAATCAGTTGTTTTTGAGATGAACTCTCAATCTGTCACCCAGGCTGGAGTGCAGTGGTATAATCTCAGCTCACTGCAACCTCTACCTCCTGGGTTCAAGTGATTCTCCTGCCTCAGCCTCCCGAGTAGCTGGGATTACAGGTGCCCACCACCACACCCAGCTAATTTTTTTTTTTTTTTTTGAGACTGAGTCTCACTCTATTGCCCAGGCTGGAGTGCAGTAGTGTGATCTGGGCTCACTGCAACCTCTGCCTCCTGGGTTTAAGCAATTCTCCTGCCTCAGCCTCCCAAGTAGCTGGGATTACAGGTGCCTGCCACCACGCCTGGCTAATTTTTTGTATTTTTAGTAGAGATGGGATTTCACCATGCTGGCCAGGCTGTTCTCCATATCCTGACCTCAAGTGATCCATCTGCCTTAGCCTCCTAAAGTGCTGGAATTACAGGTGTGAGCCACTTCACTGGCCTAATTTTTCTATTTTTAGTAGAGATGGGTTTTTGCCATGTTGGCCAGGCTGGTCTCAAACTCCTGACCTCAAGTCGTTCCCCCACCTCGGCCTCCCAAAGTGCTGGGATTACAGGCATGAGGCACCATACCCAGCCCAAAGTCAGTTTCAGACAGACTGAGAGCGAGGGCCAGGAGCCTCCTGACTCCAAATTCAGGAGTACACACCAGCCTGGGCTCGGTTTGTAGTACAGCCACACCCATAGAGCCTGGGGCCTGGAAGGCATGGACAAGTCTGGTCTGGGGACCAGATGTGAGGGGCTATCCCAGAGCCTTTCCTGTCCCTTCTCCAGATGAACATATCTGTACCACGCAATCCCCCTGCCAGAATGGAGGCCAGTGCATGTATGATGGGGGCGGTGAGTACCATTGTGTGTGCCTACCAGGCTTTCATGGGCATGACTGCGAGCGCAAGACTGGACCCTGTGAACATGCAGGGTGAGTGCTGGGCCCTCGGGGTGAGTGTAAAGTTAGACCAGAACCTGGTGATGAGATGAGGAAAGAGGCAGGACTGTGAGGAGGATGCGAGACTGAGGATCAGACCCACATAGGAGCACTCAGATGAAACCCCTGCATGCCAGTGTTCCTAGTTCAGGGTTTAACTTTTTTTTGTACCTTCTGAGCCATTTCTTCAACAACCTATAGGAGCTAGAGCAGTAACAAATGTGTGACTGCTCTGATTGAGAAGGGTGGGTGTGGGGAGGTATAGGGGCCTGGTCTCCCCCTATCCTCTCCTGAACGCTGGCTTGCACCCTTCTGTGTCACCGCAGGGATGAGGAAACAGGCTGCAGGGCTGGACGTGTCCTCATTTCCGCATCAGGCCCAGGAGCCTGTGAGGATAATAATAGCACACTTATCCTGAGCCTTGCCTTCCGGCTGGGCCCTATACTAACTGCTTAACATTGATTATTTCATTTAACCCTCAGTTAGGGAACCTGGGCGCTATTTTTATTCTCACTTTTACAGTGAGGTATTTGAGGGTTGGAGAGGGTAGCCCAAGGTGACATGGCAGGCAGTGGTCAGGATACTGACCTGGGCTACCCTGCAAGTGTCAGTAAGTTGGTATCATGTCCTCTCCCACCCTCACCCCAGCTCTCCATGCCGCAATGGTGGGCAGTGCCAGGATGACCAGGGCTTTGCCCTCAACTTCACATGCCGCTGTTTGGTGGGCTTTGTGGGTGCCCGCTGTGAGGTGAACGTGGATGACTGCCTGATGCGGCCGTGTGCTAACGGTGCCACCTGCCTTGACGGCATAAACCGCTTCTCCTGCCTCTGTCCTGAGGGCTTTGCTGGACGCTTCTGCACCATCAACCTGGATGACTGTGCCAGCCGCCCATGCCAGAGAGGGGCCCGGTGTCGGGACCGTGTCAATGACTTCAACTGTCTCTGCCCTAGCGGCTACGGTGGCAAGACTTGTGAGCTTGTCTTACCCGTCCCAGATCCCCCCACCATAATGGACACCCCTCTAGGGCCCACCTCAGCTGTGGTGGTACCTGCCACGGGGCCAGCCCCCGACAGCGCAGGGGCTGGTCTGCTGCGGATCTCAGTGAAAGAGGTGGTGCGGAGGCAAGAGGCTGGGCTAGGTGAGCCTGGCCTGGTGGCCCTGGTGGTGTTTGGGGCCCTCACTGCTGCCCTGGTTCTGGCTACTGTGTCGCTGACCCTGAGGGCCTGGCGCCGGGGTGTCTGCCCCCCTGGACCCTGTTGCTACCCTGCCCCACACTATGCTCCAGCGTGCCAGGACCAGGAGTGTCAGGTTAGCATGCTGCCGGCAGGGTTCCCCCTGCCACCTGACTTGCCCCCTGAGCCTGGAAAGACCACAGCACTGTGATGGGGGTGGCGGCTTTCCAGCCCCCTTCCTCTTCCACCCCTCAGACTGGAGTAGTCCTTTCTCACCACCCTTCAGCTTGGGTACACACACTGAGGAGACCTCAGCCTCATACCAGAAATATTATTTTTTTAATACACAGAATGTAAGATGGAATTTTATCAAATAAAACTATGAAAACGCAAATGGGCTCCTGCGCCAGAAAAACCCACCTGGTGTCCCAGATGCAAGAGGGCCGGAGCAGAGGCCTGGTTCTGAGGAAGCTTGGGATGCTGTCCACCAAGGAGTGGTTTCCTAGAGTAACCCAGCGCGCCCTTTTCCCCTCTGGAGAAGTGTGGAGAGGTAGAGCCCCAGAGGAGAATGTAAACAAGCAGCCAGCACCTCTGTACAGGCCCAGCCTGGATCAGAGAGAGGGGAGAACCCTGCAGGGTGTGGGATGCGGCTCAGGGACCTCCGAGCGAGGAGGGGACTCCCTGCTGGCTGCTCTGCAGCAGCTGCTGGAACAATGAGTGGGGCTGGTTGTGCAGGGCAGCCGGGGAGTCCAGCTCAACTACTCTCCCCGCTTGCAGCACCAGCACCCGGTCTGAGTTCAGGATCGTGTTGAGCCTGTGTGGGGAAGATGGGCAGTGTGGGGGATGAGGGACAATGCCCTAAGTGAGAAAGCTGATGTGCTTTCCCTCCTCTCCCCTCGGAACACCACAGGTCTGTCCCCACAGGCTTTATCCCCTGGATCAGTGCTGGAGAAGAGACTACAGAGTCCCTCAGATAATGTGGTATAAAGGGCCCTGAGCAGTACCTGGAGAAGGAGGAGCTGTTATCTGGGGGACAGGATCTCTAGGGCCCTGACCCCTGGGGTTCCTGAAAGTAATGGAGGCTCTGGGTGCATGCTACCACAGTCCCTGATTAGACTGTCACTCTGGGCGTTTGCACACCTGTGGGCAATGGTCAGCACTGTCTTGTTGGCAAAGTTTTTGCAGATGGTCTGTTGGAGCAGCTGGTCTGTCTTCTGGTCCACGCTTGCTGTGGCCTCATCAATACACAGGATCTGGAATATGGGAATGGGGTAGGGGAAGACAAGGAAGGAGAGGCTATAGGGTGGGCTGGGCCTGGCCCAAGCAACAGCTCCCCACTTCCAGCTCTAAAAGGAAGATGAACACCTAAAACATCTTCCCACTCTACCTCCTCACCCTGACACTCCCCCACCACCTCCTTCCTAGCCCTCTCTAATGTCTCCTCCTCTCACCTTACCTTGGCATCTGTGAGGAGAGCCCTGGCCAGACACAACAGCTGCCTCTGCCCAAGGGATAAGCTGCGGCCCCCCTCACCCAGCTCACCATCCAGACCACCTGCAAGGAGAGCATCTTCACTGCAGGGTCCAGGCCCTCCCTGCTCCCTTCTTGCTCTAGGGTTGGGGTCCAGCACTCACCCATGGATGTAATCACCTCATTCAGGTGGCACTGCTCCAGGGCTTGCCACAAGGCCCTGTCCTTATGTAGGCCTCGGGGGTCCAGGTTTTCCCGAACAGTCCCACTGAACAAAAAGGGCTCCTGGGGGATGATAGCCAGCTGGGATCTAGGGGTCAATGACATGGAGTCTAGTGGTTAGAGATGTAGCCACTTCTGCTCCCAACTCAGTTTTTGACTACAGGGCTAGCACCTCCACAAAAGCCTGGAGATGAGACCTGAACATAACCCATAACCCCAACTCTGCTCCCCACCCCATCCCCACCAAATGATCTGTTAGTCAGCTGGGTACCCAGAACTGCCAGTGCTATGAGCAATACCAAAGAAACCAAAGGCTGGATTGTGTCCTGAAGGAGCCTACATTTCATGGAGGTGGACACACACAAACCAGAGAAAACAAATGGGCTAAACTGTGGCACTGACTCTAAGGGTAGCAGTGGCTACATGGGGATGACCAGAGTGACTAAAAGGGCAGGTGACACTTCAAGGTTGGAGTGGGCCTAGAATTGGGTCCTGAAGACATGGTGGAGGTATAAAGTAGGACCACCACAGCATAGAAGAGAAGGCAGAAGAGGCAGGCCTACGGCTTTAGGATACAGCTTCCCTACCTTTTCCATGGCACAGAACTCAGAGAAAATGATACTGGGGCCAGGCATGGTGGCTCACGCCTGTAATCCAAGCACTTTGGAGGCCAAGGCAGGCTGATCACCTGAGGTCGGGAGTTCAAGACCAGCCTGACCAACACAGTGAAACCCCGTCTTACAATAAATTATGAAAAATAAATAAATAAATAAAATGATAATGATACTAGGTTGACCTGGGGGTAGGGAAGGAGCATGCACCCTCCAGTGAGGCCACCTGAAACCAAAGGCAACTGGCTCAGGTCCCAAGTTGTCTGAAGCATTCCCTGCTGAGCCTGAGGACTCAGGGGATCAGTATCTTGGGACACAAGAGTAGAGGGTATATGCTGGGAAGTATAAGGAAGATGAAGCTGGAAAGGTGGCCTGGGTCAGGGCAAGGAAGACATTGAGATCACCAGCCATGAATCTGGGCCTGGGCACTGGAAGTTCGCTGTTGTTGCCTGCTCATCCTGTCCTCCGTTTCAGCCCCCTGATCAACCCTGGCTGCCTTGAGTTTACATAAAGCCTTCTTAGCTGTGCCCTCCTCTAAGTGCCAGAGTTCTGGTTCCCCTGTCCCCCTCCCAAGTCCACCTCTCCGAGACCTGAGCTGGGCCAGCTCCAGCTGGCTGGTGTCCACGCCATCCAGCAGCACTCGCCCTGAACTGGGCTCTAGCAGCCGGAAGAGCACCAACAACAGGGAAGACTTGCCGGAGCCCGTGCGGCCCACGATGCCCAACTTCTCTCCAGGCTGCACACGGAAGGTCACTCCATCCAGGGCATTTGGCAGCCCTGGCCGGTACACCAACACCACGTCCTGGAACTCCACGCTCCCCTGGGTTAGCCAGCCAGTGCCCAACTGGTGGGGTCCATAGGTGGGAGATAGAGGGAGAGAGGGAGATGGGTGAGATGAGGAGTGATGGTGAGGAGGGGTGAATAATGAGAAACGGACAGTGTGAGAGGAAAGGGGAAAGAATGAGGAGAGATGGGGAAGAAGGGACGTGGTGAAGAACTGTCATCATGCAGAGGGGTTACGGGAGCTGAGAAAGATGGGTGAGCAAAAAGAAATGACTTGGGGGGAAACGGGTCTGCAGAGTTCCAGAGCTTTGGCCTGGGGTGGGGGTACAGGCCCACCTGCAGCATCTGGCCCTGGGGTTCCTGGGGCAGGTCACAGGAGTACTCTTCCAGCCGCTCGACGCTCACCAGCATGGCCTCTGTCTGTGTGAAGCTGCTCACCAGGCCCGAGAGCAGGCCTGTCAGGGACAGGGCGTAAGACAGCGACAGGCCCACCAGCCCTGCAGGAGAGGAGTATTAGCTGCTGGGAGAGCTTGGACACTGGGATGTGTGTGGGAGACTCCCCAAGCTGTGGACTACGGGCATTTATTTATTTTTTTTGTTTTGTTTTTGAGACGGAGTTTTGCTCGTTACCCAGACTGGAGTGCAATGGCACAATCTCGGCTCACTGCAACCTCCGCCTCCTGGGTTCAAGCAATGCTCCTGCCTCAGCCTCCCGAGTAGCTGGGACTATAGGCGCGCAGCACCATGCCCAGCTAATTTTTGTATTTTTTTAGTAGAGACAGGGTTTCACCATGTTGACCAGGATGGTCTCGATCTCTTGACCTCATGATCCACCCGCCTCGGCCTCCCAAAGTGCTGGGATTATAGGCGTGAGCCACCGCGCCCGGCTGGACTGCGGGTATTTAAAGGAAGCACAGAGAAGCAGGAGGGTGACAGGACCCAGCCAGGGGCACAGGAGGCTCAATGCAGGGCAGGGGGTGGGGCTGGAGAAGCTGGGAGGGATGGCAGGTGGGAGACTGAGATGGGCTGGGGCAGTGTGGTGGGGACGGGGGGTGGGGGGCAGGAAAGGGACTAAGACCAGCAGGTCGGAAGACTCATTCTAGTCCCTGAGCCACCACCACTGGGGCGTCACTCCTCAGGACTGTCTCCTCAACTCCAAACTGGGAGTGATGACGATAAGCATGATACACCCTCATAGGGAACCCTGGGTAGGAGGTGAGAATGTTGGGGGACAGTGCAAGGAGAGATCTGGGAGGGGGTGGACTAAGTTGCAGCTGAGGTAGGGTTGAAGGGTCCTGGGGGCACCTGGGTTGGCGAGGCCCTGCTGGTATTGCACCAGGGCAATGCCTGCGATGGTGCTGACCACTGCTGCCCCCATAAGCTGTAGCCGAATGTCCAGCCACTGCATTGTGGCGCTGGTGGCAAACTGGCATCTCTGGTTTAGCTCTAGGAGTCGCTGGTTCTCCTCCTCAAACCTGGGAAGGTCAGAGGGATGCAAGGCTACTCCCCTGTTGCCCTTAGCCACCCAGGCTCCTTCCCTATCCAGCAGCTTCTTCTCGAGAGCTGATCCATACACTCATAGGCCTCCCTATGAGTGTATGCCAGCATGCTCTTTCAAAGTGGGGGTCTGCTCTGCCTCCCTATCTCCCTCTTCTGTTGCTTTTCTCCTTCCCCATCCCTTGTCCCCAGGAGGCCTGAACCAACTCTACACTGCATATTCCTCTTCTCAGGGGTCTCTCTTTCCCCCTCCCCCCAACATCTCATCCCCCTGGGCTCTGGTTCACAGACCTGTAGGTGGCCCCTGCAGCCCGGAGCACAGGGAGGCCAGCCAAGGTATCCGCCAAGTGGGTATAGAGTGGAGACAGGGTGAGGCTGCCCAGGCGCCGCAGCTCCCGTGAGGAGGCCCTGTAGTGGCGCTGCACCTTATAGTAGATGATGCTCAAAGGTGGCAGCAGCAGCAGCAGCCAGGGCAGGCCAGAGCCCAGCACAGCCAGGAGCCCCAGCAGGCCTGCCGCATTGGCCAGGAGGATGTTGAGGATGAAGGGCAGGCTGTCATCCACACAGGCCACGTCGGAGGAGAAGCGGTTTAGGATCCGGCCCGTGGGCGTGGCATTGAAGAAAGTCACTGGTGCCTGGAAGAAGGACACTGGTTGGGCCAGAACAGAGCCTGGCACAAAAGGGGTTGGCAGGCAGCCCTGGGGGAAGTGGGGTGGAAAGGAAAGCCTAAGATAGAGAATAGGGAAGGAGTAAAGTATCCCCAGAATTTGGGGACAGAGAGGAGAGATTGGCAGAGCTTGAGGAAGACTCTCCCATCCCTCTGGCCAGTGGCAATCCTAGGAGCCTATGCTGGCCATTCCTCTCCCTCTGGGCGAGACGTGTCTACTACCCTTTTCAAGGGCAGGAATCGAAACTCTCTCTAGAAGACAAGGACTTCTGGCCAGTGAGTGAGATTTAGTTAGATGTTCGTTAGAACAGTGGGCAGCTGCTCCCTGACAGGCAGTGGAAAGACCCACACAGTGCTCAGTTTGTTTACTGGCTCTCCACAGACCTAGCCTTGGCCAGGTCACTTCAACTTTCAGAATCTCAGTTTCTTCATCTGTAAAAGGGGAATAACAGAACCTATTTCACAGGGTTATTGAGAGGCCCTGCTAAGAAAGTGGACACAAAAGGGGCTTTGTAATAACAATGTTAATAATAATTGCAAAGTGAGTACTTAGTGTGTGGCAGGTACTACCCTAACCCCTTTCCATGTGCTAATTAATTAGGTCCTCAGAAGAAGTATACAGGGTAAGCAGTAGACGAGAGATATATGGAACAGCAGGGATGGATTTTAGAAACAGCCCTAAAAAAAAATGGTAAGAAATGGAATGTGAGATCTAACACAAGGTCATTTGCATAAATTAAAAATACATATATACCAAACAGACGTTTTGTAAAAAGACAAACAAAAAGATACATATGAAACTCGTTTTAGAATGGCTGCTTCTTAAGGAGCCAGAGGAAATGGAAACGGGGCATAGAGATAAAGGGGATGGATAAAGAAGTAAAACAGGCTGGGTGTGGTAATCCTAGCACTTTTGGGGGCCAAGGTTGGTGGATCACCTGAGGTCAGGAGTTCAAGACCAGCCTGGCCATCATGGTGAAACCCCATCTTTAAAAAATAAAATAAATTAAATAAAAAAGAAGTAAAACAGGAAAGGGGCCTTGTGTGAAGTCAGGGGTCAATCCTCTGCACCTCAAAGTCCTAAACTGAAGTAATTCTCAGGTAGATTATATTATTTGCCTCATTATACACGAGAAAACTACAGCCGTAAGTAACTGGGTTTGAACCTGCGCATCCACTCTGCCCTGCAGCCTCTCCAGGTCTCAGAGATTGTCACATGCCAAACCCATCTGTAAGGATGAGATGTAGGACTAGGGATGTCGGATGGAGCCCAGTGGAGCCTGAGTATTGGTAGGACACTCCACAGGGCTAGGAGACTGCACTCCCCCACCCCCAAGCTCCCAGCCCCTCACCATAAGGACTCGATGCAGCAGGCGGCGATGTAGGGTGGCAGCTGCTTGGAGGGTGCCTGCTGCAAAGAGCACTGCCCGGAGGAAGGTGCAGAGGGAGTTGACACCAGCAATGGTTGCATATACGGTGAGGTAGAAACGGAGGTCTGAGGAGCCATTGGGGGCAGCTCTGGGCAGTGGGAACACTGGGGTGCTGGGTGGTGGGGAAGGGGCTGTGGGTAACCAAAAGTAGGGCCACTCAGGGGTCCCTTCTCCTCCCCCATGCCATCTCTCCCACCCTCCAGAAGTCACAGCACCTGGAATACTGGCCCCAACCCTCACTCCCTGCCTGGCGACCACTCTTGAGAGTACCAGGCCTACTCCCAGCCCCAGGCACTTACTAGAGGTTTCCAGGGGAAAAGAGGAGCAGCTGTGGACAGAAGAGCCCCATAGAAGCTGGGCTGGTGGAGGCTAGTGCCTCCTGGGAGCTATTCTCAGCCTTCAGCTGAGAGATCCAGTGGGAGAGCCACCAGTCAGCAGCATTCCGCGTGGCTGGGTGGGGACAGGAAGTAAAAAGCTGTGAGAGGCTCCTCTCCCTCATTCATTCTATTCCAATGCCACCTTTCTAGGCCCTTGCCTCTGGTTCCTGCCCAACTCCATCCCTCTGGCCTGGCCTCCCCACCCTGCCACTATCCCATATCTTCCCTAGTACGCACTTCTCTCCTAGGCCCATCACCCTTCAGCTCTGGGGAGAACAGGATTTCAGACTTGCAGAATGGGAGCTAACCTGGGGCGCAGAACTGAAGCCAGCTATAGAGCACATGCCTCCGGCCCTCAGGCCTCTCAGAATTAGGAATATGGCTTTTGCCCCAGATGTGACCCATGCTTGGTGAGTCTCTGGGCTTTGTAATGATTAGTGCAAGGTAATGGGCACCTGGACAGCACACCTTACAGTGGTGGTATAAGAGACTCCCTGGCACACTCACCTTGCATGAGGAGCAGAGAGAAGAGGATGGCTAAGACCAAGCCCCGGCCTACAGCCTTCCAGTAAGCTTGGTACACATGCAAGGCCACGGCGCCCTCCTTCTTGCTTTCTTCCTGTAGCAGGCGACCAGATGTGCTCTGCTCCTCCTCCAGCCCCCACTTTGTTTTCTCTTGGTTCTGTACTGACTGGGCTGTGGCTGTGAGAATCAGGGGTCATGGAGGAATTAAGCTTGCAGGGTGCCAGCTGGAAACTCAATATTTCAGAGGAGTAGGCAGCCTTTGTAGAAAAAGCTCCACAGTGTGGGAGTGAAAAGCAAGCCTTTTTCTCCCACTGGGGAACCATACCTGAGTCAGACTCTTGTCCATTCTCAGCCCAGGCTTTGGGGACAGCTTGTACGAGTGGCAGAATCTCAGAGGGAGGCCCTGGAGGGTAGAAGGGGAGATGAGGAGGGGCTGTTCTGAGTCTATACTATGCTTTTCTCAGTGCATGTGCAGATCCCACCTCCCATCCTCTAAGGCCTCCCTCTCTAACCCACCCTAGCAGGATCCTGCTCTGGATAACCCGACATCTTGAGCAGGACTCAAGTCCATCCTTGTAAACCTAGATTCCAACCAGCAAAGAGGGACCAATGTCCATCCCCAAGAGGACATCCAGAGCTACACCTGCCACGGTTTCCAGGGTTACTTCTCATTACTGCAGAGCTTTTTCTCATGCTTCACTCAATTCCTAACATCTGGTTGGAGCTCCACTTCCTCCTATTTCTCTCCCAGTGACCTTGCAGGTGGTCATGTCCCTCTGCATAAAAATCAGAGTTTAAAATTTTTTATTTTTAAGGCCGGGCAGGGTGGCTCACGCTTATAATCCCAGCACTTTGGGAGGCCGAGACGGGTGGATCACGAGGTCAAGAGATCGAGACCATCCTGGTCAATAAGGTGAAACCTCATCTCTACTAAAAATACACAAATTAGCTGGGCATGGTGGTGTGCGCCTGTAGTCCCAGCTACTCGGGAGGCTGAGGCAGGAGAATTGCTTGAGCCCAGGAGACGGAGGTTGCAGTGAGCCAAGATCGGGCCATTGCACTCCAGCCTGGGTAACAAGAGCAAAACTTCGTCTCCAAAAAAAAAAATTTTTTTTTAATTTTTACAAAAAGACCATTCTAAACCTGACTGCTTTCTTTTCTCTGAAGATATCAGACTGTTCTCTCTCCTGTTCCCTGAACCTCTAAGTTCCCAGGAGCACTTAGTGAGAAAGCCCATGAGTTCCAAATACACTGGCATTTCACCAACATGCTCCTTTTCCCTCCTGTTCTCCTAGTTCCTCACACCAGTTCTGTGAAGGCAGGAGGCGGCAATGACTGGCTCAGGCTACACATGCAGCAGGTGGCAGAGTCTGTACTTCACAATCCCCTGCCACACCTGGGCAGACACCTCCCTTATGTGGGGCTCCTGCCCTCATTACCAGCCCGGATGAGACGCCCAGCTTCCATCAGCAGCACCACATCAGCCCTCTCCAGGTACTCGGTGCGGTGGGTGCATAGCAGCCGTGTGGTGTGGCTCAGCACGCCCAGAATGCAGCTGTGCAGTAGATGGTTGGCCACATCTGCATCCACAGCAGCCAGAGGGTCATCGAGGAGATAGAGTTCCTTTTCCTAGGAAGACGTAAGGGTACCATGGGCACCAGGACCCAGAGGCTCTCCTGGGAAGATCTCAAGGTGGTCATGGAAGACAGTTGAGAGGAACTCTGGGGGCTACCCCTACACTAGCAGAGAAATTGGTGAGACCCGAGGGTGGACATCCCTTCAGGCAAGCAAGACCACCACCCCAGGGCCAGCACCCAGCTTTCCTAGGTCGTCCCAGGGCCCCAGCCCACATAACTTTTTTTTTTGGAAAAGGAGTTTTGCTCTTGTTGCCCAGGCTGGAATGCAATGGCGTGATCTTGGCTCACCGCAACCTCCACCTCTTGGGTTCAAGCGATTCTCCTGTCTCAGCCTCCCGAGTAGCTAGGATTACAGGCATGTGCCACTATGTCAGGCTAATTTTTTTTTTTTTTTTTTAAGTAGAGATGAGGTTTCACCATGTTGGCCAGGCCAGTCTCAAACTCCTGACCTCAAGTGATCCACCCTCCTCAGCCTCCCAAAGTGCTGGGATTACACCAACTAGCTTTTTAAAATTATTTTTTGTAGAGACAGGATTTTGCCACATTACCCAAGCTGGTCTTGAAGTTCTAGGCTCAAGCAATACTCCTGCCTTGGCCTCCCAAAGTGCTGGGATTACAGACCTAAGCCACCATGCCCAGCCCGCATAATGCTTTGTAAAGGGCCTTGAACTCTGCCTTAAATCTGCAAAAGGGGATGGGACAGCCAATATCTCAGGAACATTCAACGGGGCAGGGAAGGAACCAGATGCCAAGGAAAATATTCCTATCCTCCTGACTCAGCCAAGCTCCCAAGGCTCTGGACTTGCCCGACCTCCCTGCCACTGCAACCCCCATCTTTAACTTACCTGGTAGACAGCACGAGCAAGGGCAATCCGGGCACGCTGTCCCCCACTAAGGGTCACACCCTTCTCCCCCACCTCTGTCTGGTCTCCAGCAGGCAGGATCTGATGGAACAGGTGCCCCAGTGGATCAGGGACCTCCCCATTACCTTCTGGCCCACTTCCTATCCCTTTGCAGGAAAGAGACTGTGGGAGTCAAGAGAAGTAGGGAGCTTGAGGAGAACAGACTTAAATTTGGGGACTTCAGAGGAGACAAGGCATAATTCTAATAACATCTAACATTTATCAAGCACTTACTATGTGCTTAGCACTTTACAGGCATTATCTCATTCAAGTCCTCTGATAATCTTATGAAGATGGTATCATTTCCTTTTCTGAGGTGCAACCAAAGCTCAGACAGATTAACTAGCTTGCCCACAGCTAGTAAGGGGCAGGATACAAGTTCAGATTCTTAACCACTCTGTTACGTTTACTACCCTTTTTTTTTTTGAGATGGAGTTTCGCTCGTTACCCAGGCTGGAGTGCAATGGAGCAATCTCGGCTCACCGCAACTTCCACCTCCTGGGTTCAAGCAATTCTCCTGCCTTAGCCTCCAGAGTAGCTGGGACTACAGGTGCAGGCCACCATGCCCAGCTAATTTTTGTATGTTTAGTAGAGACAGGGTTTCACCTTATTGACCAGGATGGTCTCGATCTCTTGACTTCCTCGGCCTCCCAAAGTGCTGGGATTATAGGCGTGAGCCACTGCACCTGCCCTACCCTGTCTTTTTAATAGGCAGATACCTTGGGCAAATTTGATGTAAAAGCTTTTATAGATTTTTACTTTTTGTGTGTGTATGTGAGACAGAGTCTTGCTCTGTCGTCCAGGCTGGAGTGCAGTTGCACGATCTCGGCTCACTGCAACCTCCATCGCTCTAGTTCAAGCAATTCTCCTGCTTCACGCTCCCGAGTAGCTGGGACTACAGGTGTGAGCCGCCATGCCCAGCTAATTTTTGTATTTTTAGTAGAGACGAGGTCTCATCATGTTGTCCAGGCTGGTCTCAAACTGTTGGGCTCAAGTGATCTGCCTGCCTTAGTCTCCCAAAGTGCTAGGATTATAGGCATGAGCCATCACACCTGGCCCAGCTTTTGCAGGTTTTTAGAGAAGGAAGGTACTACCTCCAAGCCTTCTTGTGGCCTCAGGAATGGTCTACTAAGCAAAGGAATTCCCATCTTCATGCATAGGAAGCAACTGTGATCCACTAGATGGTGAGTCTCCTGAGCTAAAAGCTTTGTTGTTCATCTCTTTCCTTAGTGTCTAGAACAGTACCCAGAACCTAGCAGAAGTAGGAAAGCTTGATGTAGCAATGAAGTATTGGCTGGGTGTGGTAGCTCATGCCTGTAATCCTAGCACTTTGGGAGGCCAACGTGGGTGAATCGCTTGAGGTCACAAGTTCAAGACCACCCAGGGCAATATGGTGAAATCCTGTCTCTACAAAAAAAAAAAAAAAAAAAAAATAGCTGGGTGTGGTGGCTCATGCCTGTAGTCCCAGCTACTTAGGGGGCTGAGGTGTGAGGATCACTCAAGCCCAGGAGGCAGAGGCTGCAGTGGGCCAAGATGGCGCCACTGCATTCCAGCCTGAGCAACAGAAAAAAGACCCTGTCTCAAAAGGAAAAACCAAAGAATGACAGCTGCATACAGGATGCCTCATGGTCAAAGTTAAAGGTGCTCCTTTCCAGGGATGTTTTACCTGGGTAGGGTAGTGGTGGTGACACTCCCGAAGGGGATGGTGGGGTTGGGTGGGAAGTCAAGGGAGAAAACTGGAATCTCTTCCTCTATAAATGTAGTACTCTAGATTGGGGCAAGGGGAAATCTAACAGTCTTGGCAGGTTTCTCTAGTATATCCTGCAACCCAATGAGACTTTGACTCTTCCAAGCCTTTCCAGCGGCAGGTGGGGAGAACCTTCCAAGCCTTCCCAGTGGGAGGTGGGTATGGAGAAGGGGACAAGGAGCCAGGCTGTGCAGAGCTAAGCCTCACAGGTAGAACCCTCCCTAGCTCCAGAGGCCATAGGGCTCTTCCCACTGCTATGTAGAACACCCAGTCGCCACCCTACTGGGCTCTATAGGAAGGGGCAGCTGGACACTCTGGGAGGACCACAGTCCAATGGCCATTCCTAGATAAGTGATGCCCGAGTAGAAGGAACCCCTTTCCATAAAAGCAAGGCTCTGGTTTGAGGTGTCAGGGACACATGGAGAGGCAAGCAGCTAAGAGGATTCAAGGTCAGGCACTCACACTGAGGTCATCATTGAGGGCGCAGGCTTCTAGCACCTCCTTGTACAGCTGTGAATTAAATGTCTTCCCAAAGAGGATGTTGTCTCGGATGGTGGCAAACTGGATCCAGGGTTCCTGGGTGGCCAGGCCAAAGCCTTTGGACAGCCCCCACACTGCCACATGCCCACGCAGCCTACAGAGAGCCAGGCCAGCAGTATGGGGACCAGCTCTTCTCTGGGTCCCTCCATGCCCAGCACTTGACTCCTAGAAGCCTCCCCAGGCTGCTGTCTTCTATACAGGGTCCCCTTTCATATCACATGACTGAGCTGGCAGCCCCTGAAGTGAAGGGGTCCTAATGAAGCCCATCTTGGATGGAGAAGCGAAAAAAATTGCTCTTTGGCTACAGCCAAGCAGCTGTTGTAATTACAAGTGCTCAGGAACCACCAGATTGTATTTGTTCTCATCTGGAAACAAGATCTTCCCTCAAACCTATGCTCCTCTCTAGATGCCTTCCCCGCACAGCCACATTTCTGAAAGAATGGCTGACACTGGATGTTTCCATTCTTTTGCTCACTATTATAGCATTTAAAACACTCTGGTGTAATGATTACGATGGTTCACTTTCTTGGTCACCTCCTTCTTTCCAGATTGAAAACTCTCCCAATTAAGGGACCATGCATTGCTCTTTTTAGTACCCCTGACCCCAAAAAGGTGTCTGACACATAGCAGGGGCTCAGTAAGTGTTTTCTAAAGGGCAGAGTGAGGACGGGGTGCACAGGAGGTTGGTTACCTGTGGAGCTCTCCAGTGATGGCAGCCAGCAGGGAGCTCTTCCCACAGCCCACCTTCCCCACGATGCCCACCAGCATACCCTGCAAGGAAGCCACACATCAAGTGTCTTCTGTTGGTAGGGGAAGGAACAGAGGTGGCAGTGCTCTCCCTCTTAACGCTCTGGGCTGCCAATCCCCCCACTGAGGCTTCTCTTTTTCTCTTAGTGTGTAGAGAAAGAATTCTCCACCTTATAGGCTGATCTGTTGGCTCTAGAGAAGTAGGGTGTTTTTTTCTCCACTCAGAGTGGCTATCAGTTTCACTGTCTATGTGAAGGGCCTCTGAAGGGAAGCAGCAGGCCAGAGAGAATGGGAGGAAACTGCCCAAGAACTTCCAAGGTAAGCTCTGAGACAAGCCTCTCAGAATGGGAGAGGGGAGAGTAGGACTCCAGGCTTTGGGGCATCCGGATGCTGGGTGGGCTAAGTCAACCTGTGGCTAGACTTCCCATATCTCAGGGCAAAAAGCAGTGCTTTGCATAAATGCCTATTTCTGTACCTTATAGTTTAAAATTTTGTTTTCCTTCATTTTTTTGTCATAACGTTGGTTCATGGAGCTAACTCCCTGCTCAAAAAAAAAAAAAAAAAAAAAAAAAAGTCCTAGTTCCCTCTCTAGAAGGGACTGAGCTCTCAGAAGTTCTACCTGCCTGTGATACGCCAACCCTGGCAGCCAGGGTTGACCCATCTACAAGTGGGAACCACTTCTGAGACCATTCCCTGGAAATCTGGATTCAGGTCCCAGAGGCAGCTTCTCCTTGTTGGTTATAATTTGGAAGCACAAACGCTCTCTGTAGTCACATCTTCTGCTCAATGGAGGGTGTGTCCACAGAGAGAGGAGAATCAGGCAAACACAGGGAGAGGTACACATAGAAGGCAGAGAGCTCTGCGAGTTGAGGCCTGGTTCTGGGCTGATTCTAAGATCCAGCTGCGTTCCTGCCTTTGGATTCTGCAACACATCTCTATATCCTTATTACACATTCTTGTTTGCTTGAGCTAGCTCCAGTGTGTTTCTGTAACTTATATCCAAGAAAAGCCCCAACTAACACGTTAGCAAAATTCCTTTGTACAATTCCAGCCTTGTCTTGCCTGAACTAAGAGGAAAAACAAAACATACAGCCTAAGCCAGAAACATGAGCCAAATGTAGTGGAAGCAATTCAGCCACCACCAGAGAATGCCGGGTTGAGCTGCGGGGCACAGGGTTGGACAGAGGTCAGGAGAGAGTGAAAACTCAGGACAGGAGGTGAACAAGAGCTGGTTTCTTGCCAGGAATGCCCCATTTTAAGTTCTTTGTATGCTATAGTGTGAGTCACAGGGTGTGATTGCTTTTCACCAAGCTAAAGAGAGGATTCCCATTTGCAAAATATTTCTTAAAAGTGCTTGCTGGGCCCCTCCCCCAGATCCCCAATGTTGGGTAGATGCTAGATAAGCCACAGGGCCTGTTCTGAATGCTGTAGCTTCTGAGGGACATGGAGAGACAAACACACCCCTTGGTCTGGACTGGATGGATACAAGCTGCCTGAAGACCAGAGAGAGGTGCAACTATTCTGAGATTCAGAAATGAAATGTCATCTCCTCATGGATTAGAATCTTCTCACCAAATGCCTCTCCCTCCTGTAGCAATTAGAGCTGCAGAGCCATCAGCTATGACTGGCTCCGTCACTGCTTCTCTGTCCTGAGTTCTCACCTCTCCCGTTAGTCTGAGGACTCTCCCAGGGTGTCTGTCCAACAAACCTTTTTCACTTCGAGATGACTGATGAAGGTCTCCTGGCTGGTTCCAACTGGGTCCCAAGAGAACAAGGCTCCATGCAGCTCCAATATTGTAGATGGCTCTGTGGGGGGATCTGAACAGAGAAGCCACTTGACTTGGGCCCCTAATCTACCACAATCTGCTTATGGAGAGTAAATCATGTAATTGACTTGCTAGCCCCATATCTACCTGCCCAGAGCTGAGTCTGAGTTTTGGATTCCACTATCTCTACCCCTCTTGGTAACATCTATGCACAGCACCCAAGTGGCTCCACTCCTCTCTTCACCCTGTGCCAGGTTCTGCCCACTAGCTTCCCATTACCTGGGCTGTAGTAAGCCTCGGGGTTGTGGTTTGGAAGGTCGAGGAAACGCTGGATCCGCTCCAAGGACACTTTGGCCTCCAGGAGGCCATTGATCACCCAAGGGAAGTTGTTGAGAGGAAGAATGAGCATTCGTACCAGTGCCAGGGCTGTGAACACCTGAGTGAGGTGGGAGCAGAATATAGCACAGCCCCAGGAGTTATCCGAGGGCCTGCTCTATGGAAAGCCCTATGGACAGGTCTGTGGAGGGAAGAACCAGGCAACAACAGCACTGAAGGGCTGGCTGTCCAATCCTGAGTTCAGACATGGCAGAGATGGCCACTTAAAGAATCCTAGAAATTCCAATGTTACTCCAGGGATCTAGGTTGCATCTTTTTTTTTTTTTTAAGATGGAGTTTTGCTTTGTCACCTAGGCTGGAGTGCAGCAGCACAATCTCGGCTGACTGCAACCTCTGCCTCCAGGGTTCAAGTGAGTCTCCTGCCTCAGCCTCCCGAGTAGCTGGGATGACAGGCATGCACCACCACACCTGGTTAAGTTTTATATTTTTAGTAGAGATGGGGTTTCACCATGCTAGTCAGGCTGGTCTTGAACTCCTGACCTCAGGTGATCCATCCACCTTGGCCTCCCAAAATGCTGGAATTACAGGTGTGAGCCACCACACCCAGCCAAGGTTGCACCTTTTTTTTTTTTGCGACGGAGTTTCGCTCTTATTACCCAGGCTGGAGTGCAATGGCACGATCTCAGCTCACTGCAACCTCCGCCTCCTGAGTTCAGGCAATTCTCCTGCCTCAGCCTCCTGAGTAGCTGGGGTTACAGGCATGTGCCACCATGCCCAGCTAATTTTTTGTATTTTTAGTAGAGACGGGGTTTCACCATGTTGACCAGGATGGTCTCAATCTCTTGACCTCGTGATCCACCCGCCTCGGCCTCCCAAAGTGCTGGGATTACAGGCGTGAGCCACTGCGCCTGGCCAGTTGCACCTTTTTAAGTGGGCAGGCCTTGCTCATTTGGAGACTTTTTTAGAATTCCCAAGTAGCAACATCACCTGGCCTTGGCTAGACCCAGTATTGGATTATAGATTTTTTTTTTTCCCAAGGCCATTAAGAATGAGGATAAAGAGACCTAACCCCAAGCCTAGAACTGACTAGAAGTTAGAGTGAAAGATAAAGGAGAGGAAAGAAAGGAATTCCTTCACAGAGGGGAAGGTTATATGTCTAAGGCCCCAGAAAAGGTTCCTTCAGTTTTCCCTTGGGAGATGAGGCAGTCGGGATCCCTCCCTCCTCAGCCGAACTGAGGGCCCAAGCCCATGTCTCCAATTCGCTGAAGTCTCCTTGATGCTGGTCCTTTTCCTTCCTGGTCCTCACCTTGGTGGCAGTGAGCAGATGCCCCATGAGGACATAGGTGATGAAGATGACGATGGAGATGACAACCGGCAGGGCAGCCCACAGGTATACACAGGCTGCATCCAGGTATTTGATGACCCGGAGTCGCCCCAGCTCTCGAGCCCGGCAAGCCTCTACTCGGGCCCCCAGTGCCTGCTCCCACCTGCAGAACTTGATGACCCGAATGCCACTCAGCAGCTCTGTGACAAGCTAGGGAAAGGAGACAAGGGAGCAGTGTGAAGTGGAGGCACTGCTCATGTATCTTCTCTGCCAAGCCTTCCCCAGGGTCCAGGAAGAATGTCCAGTACTCCAAGCTCCCAGATACTCTGCACTGCCCTAGTCCTGGTTTTCTTCCTCACCTCCAGTCCTTTCTAAAATCCTGCCCCTCAAATCCTTTTCAGCCCTGGGTTGCTTCCCCTCCCAGTCTCTTTTACTTCTCCATTTGTTCCAGCTGGGGACAAGCTGGAGCTGGAATTCCCTACCTTCCTGGGAGGAGTGGTGGCAGGTGCAGCCAGGTCACCACAGTGAAGTAAAAGCACTTCTCCCATTAGATGAGGGACAAAGGGCTATCTCCCAAAACCAAAAGATGTGGGCTTTGAGGCTGGCCCCAGTTCTGGCCTATGGCTTGAGTGGTACATAAACTATTCCTGTAGGAGTATACAGGCATAAGAGGCCACACCACAGCCCAGGGTCAAACAGGCTAATGGACCTAGGCAAGACGGGCAAGGACCAAAACTTCTTGGAGACCTTGTCTGTAGCTGTCACAGGTAGTGGAAAAGGCCTCATGCCGTAACCATCTAATAACCTCCCTTACCTTCAGAAGCACTCTGAGCTATTCCACTAAGAGTCAACAACTATGCTGTATGAATCCCCAGGACTGCCATTCCCTTTGTGAAGGTGCCCACAATCACTGCAGAAGCCAGAACTGATTCAGCCAAACCTTAACACCTAGAGTTGGCCCAAACAGGAAAGTGACCTATTCCCTTCCCCAGTCTACCCAAAGAGGCAGCTGAGGTTCTCCTAGGCCTCTCTACATGCAGCCATGGGGTAGCCTGTGCCCCAGACAAGGAGGTGGGAGACTTGGGTCCCAGCTCTGGCCCTAAAAACCTGTCTGGTGCCAGGGAGATGACTTCCCAGGGTGGTCACATGTATTTAGAGCTGACTTTGTGATTTAACACTATGGTAGGTATTCTCTCATGTGATCCTTACAGCAACTCTACGAGGTGAGCTACTATTATTCTCCTTTTACAGACGAGGAAGAGGAAACCCAAATAGGTTAAGTGACTTGTCTGAAGTGATTGAACTATTAAGTGTAGAGTCAGGATTTGAACCCAGGTCTATCTTTCTCCAGTCTCAGCTCTTAACTTCAAGGTCACCCTCACTCCCTCTGGTGACGCACATGGGAAGACCTGGGGCCCTGGGCTGGATGGGTCTCCAGATAGCTGAGGGACCTCAAGTAGCCCTTTACCTTAACACGCGCATCCTTGTGTCGTAGCATTTCCTGGTTGCTGGCCATGATGCGGGTGGCGATCACTTTGTTGACAGGTACCAGCAGCAGTGCCAAGATCAGACCACCCACAAAGGCAACACCTACCTGCTGGTACAGCAGGTAGAGGGTGATGGCCAGCTGCAGGGGCAGGCCCCAGGCTTCATGGAAGCTCCCAGCAAAGTTAAGCAGTCGTTCAGAGTCAGTGCCTAGTAGGTTCAGGGCCTCCCCAACAGGAGGGCGGCTGGGCCCCAGCTGTAAAGCCTTGCAGTACAGGATGTTCAGCACGGCCCCCCGTGCCTGAAGTGCTACCTTACGTACCTCATAACCATACTGATTCTGCAGCACAGCACCCAGCACAGCCCCACCAGCAAGCCCCAGAGCATACAGCAGGCCCTGGCTTAGTGGCTCCTGGCCCTCTTCCAGGAAGCCCACCAGTAGGGAAAGCAGGAGGGGCCCTGAGAATCCCAGCATGGTCCCCACCAGCTTCAGCAGTCCAAGTGCCAGATAGTACTGTCCAAAGGCCCCATACAAAGCCCTCCACAGCTGGGCCCCCTCCTGCCAGTGTGCCTGGAAGACACGAGCCAGGTAGGTTGGATGCAGTCTGTGGGGGAGGCGGCAAATGTCCTGAGGCTGCCGGAGCTCTCCACAGGCCCCACGGGCCAGCAAGGGTGCCAGCCAGGCATAGGAAAAGCGTGACAACCAACTCTCCCCATCTTCAGCTACCTCGGGTTCTTGATCCCCAGGCAGGAGGGGCTCCTGAGCCCAGGGTTCTCGTGGTCCCCCAGGAGCTGCCCATCCCAGTGCGTAGGCCAAGAGTGCAGCCAGCTGCAGAATGAGCAGGCACAGACGGGCCACGGGCCCTGGGCGAAGTGGGGGTAGAAGTGTGCCTCGCTGGCAATGCCACAACACGGTCAGCACTAGGGCGGGAGCTGGCAGCAAGGCTACCAGAGCCAAGGCCAGGGGACCCCGGGAGTGGCCATGAGGGGAATGGGCCAACACCCACAGGGCCAGGCTGTGGCTGATCCAGGCCACAGCTGCCACACACCCTGTCAACACCTCTAGTCCTATGGGTCCTGGGCCTGCCCCTGGTGGCAAAGCAACTGGAAGGAGGTCGAGCAGCGGGAAGATGGAAAGCAGGAAGGAAGCTGCAAGTCGGAGTAGCCATCCAGGACTGCAGGGTAGGATGTGATCTGGACTCCTGGGGACAAGGGGGAAGAAAAAGAGGCACATCATGGCTGACTCAGGACCCAGACATACCCCCTCACCTCCAAGAATTCACTTACCTAAGGAATCAACTCCCTTGCTGCCTTGCACTTATCCCTACCCCACTTTACCTTGGAACTCAGGGTCTTTTCTCCCAGGAAGTCTTCCCAGATGAACCTAACTCATTTTCTGACCAACTGAGCTAACTGGCCACCTGAACCAAACTCATTTTCTAAACTAGCCACACCATTTCTGATTCTTCTTTTTTTAACCACAGACTTTAACAATTTTGAGGTAAGGTTGTACCTAACATGAAGACTAGGAAAAAAAAAAAACCCCAGGGTATCATGTTTGCTACTTGGGTGATGGGAGTATTAGAAGCTCAAACTTCAGCATCACACAATATATCCATGTATAATAACAAACAAGCATATATGCCTCATGAATCTAAAACTTAAAAAAAAAAAAAATCCAGGCTGGGTGCTGTGGCTCACACCTATAATCCAGCACTTTGGGAGGCCGAGGTGGGCCGATCACGAGGTCAGAAGTTTGAGACCAGCCTGGCCAACATGATGAAACCTGTCTCTACTAAAAATATAAAAATTAGCTGGATGTGGTGGCAGGCACCTGTAATCCCAGCTACTCTGGGATGCGGAGGCACGAGAATCACTTGAACCTGGGAGACAGAGGTTACAGTGAGCCAAGATCATGCCACTGCACTCCAGCCTGGGTGACAGAGTGAAACTCCGTTAAAAAAAAAAAAAAAAAAAAATGAATGAAATATAGGAAAACCCATCTGCAGCAGTGATGTCAGGATGCCTTGAAGGTTCACACAAAAAGAGGACTGAATCTGTTACACCCTTTGTTGGGAGGGCTGGGTTACTAAAAAAGTTTACTTGTAAACTAAAATGCTTGGGTTTTCTAAAAAGTCCATCTGATAGCAGTTATCTGCAGGGGTTTACACGGGAATAAAAATTAGCCTTTAAGAATTATTTCTGGGTTGGGCATGGTGGCTCACGCCTGTAATCTCAGCACCTTGAGAGGCTGAGATGGGTGTATCATGGGGTCAGGAGTTCAAGACTAGCCTAGGCAAGATGGTGATTTTTTTCTTTTTGAGACGAGATTTCTTTTTTTTTGAGACAGAGTCTTGCTTTGTCACCCAGGCTGGAATGCAGTGTTTCAATCTTGTCTCACTGCAATCTCCGCCTCCTGAGTTCAAGCAATTCTTGTGCCTCAGCCTCCCAAGTAACTGGGACTACAGGTGCACACCACCATGCCCAGCTAATTTTTTTTTTTTTAAACAAAGTCTCATTCTGTCACCCTGGCTAGAGTGCAGTGGCACAATCTGGGCTCACTGCAACTTCTGCCTCCCAGGTTCAAGTGATTCTCCTGCCTCAGCCTCCTGAGTAGCTGGGATTGCAGGTGTGTGCCACCACGCCTGGCTAATTTTTAGTAGAGACAGCGTTTGGTCACGTTGGTTTTGAACTCCTGACCTCCACTGATCCGCCCGCTTCAGCCTCCCACAGTGCTGAGATTACAGGCTTGAGCCACTGCACCCAGTCTATTAAAAATAATTTAAAAAAATTAGCCAGGCATGGTGCCATAGGCTTCTGGTCCTAGCAACTCAGAAGGCTGAGGTGGGAGGCTGCTTGAGCCTAGGAGGTCAAGGCTGCAGTGAACTGTGATTGGACCACTGTACTTCAGTCTGGGCAATAGAGGGAGACTGTCTCAAAAAAAGAAAGAAAAGAAAGAAGGAAAAGAAAAAAAATAATTACATATCCTAAGATGTGGGGACCCAACAAACAACACTGGGCCCTTGGAAGCATAAACTGGCCCCAAGTTGGCCATCAACCAGTCTCATCACCCCTTGGGCAGGTCTCTTTTCCTCTTTGAATCTCACTTTCCTCATCAGCACAGTGAGCAGTGAGTCTCGAAGTAAAGCCTTCTGAGGTCCTTTCCTATCTTAGATTCTGGATCTCTCTAACCCTTCTTAGCAACAAACACAAGGCTGATAAGTGAAGTGAGGCACAATTTCTACTGATTACACCATGGTCTTTCTTGCTTTCTCAAGGGGCTGATGAATCCCTTCCTTGGATAGAAGACACTGTGGATCTGCTTGGTCTGGGAGGTATCCTGATTTGTTTCTTACATAAAGACAAAAGTCTAGACGGGTTTAATCACCTAGCAAAGACATTCACAGCCTTCTCAGAGGAGTAGCTATTACAAATTGGCACAGTTTTTTTTGAAACTCAGTCTAATGAGAAAGTAAGAAAAATCTCTCAGATAGGGACACTTTCTCCCCATCAGACTAGGAACTCCCAAAGGCAGTGATCAAGACCGCCCTCCTGTCTTCTCAGCAGCCAGAATGAGACTAACTTTAGTCATCTCTAGCCATACAAGAACTAAATACAAAATCAAGGTGAGTTTAGCACCCACACCTTATAGCCCTAACTGGGGAAGGCTTAATGTTTGACTTTGCTCTTCTTGTCTATGTACTGCTTTCTCTTCAGCAGAGCCTACCTATGCTTTTCTTAATCTGGAAACACTGAAGTTTCATGGACTGAAGCGGTGAGAAACTGACCCTACAACTTAAACACGTCATCCCTTTTGGCTGAAAGCATTGTTCACCCAACTTACTTAGCCTCCAGTTCATGACAGCTGAGTCTGGGTAGCTGAAAATGGACAATTCTGATGATTTCCGACACTCATTGGACCTTTAAAAACATGCCAGGTACTGCACTATATGCTTAAATTCATTATTTCATTTAAACCTCCCAACAACAAGACTCAGAGAAGGCAGGTACTTGCCCAAGGGCAGTCACATTGCTGCTAAGTAGTAATGCTCAGATTTTATTCTGCTTCTGTCTTACTCCAGAGACCTCGCCATTCCGATGACACTGACGGAAGATGTAGGTTGTGGGTGAGGTGTGCAGGCACACCCGGACAGATACCTTGAGCCCGTCTCTACCCACCTCGGGGTGCCCAAGTAGCAGGCACTGAGCACGGCGAGGAGCGCGTGGGGCAGGGCGCTGAGCACCAGCTGAGTGAAGCAGTGGCCTGTGGTGTCCCCCTCCCACAGCGGGAGCGGCCACGCTGCGCTGCTACCGCACAGCTGGACCAGAAGTCGTTCCATGGACGCCTCCTCACCTGAAGAGAAAGATGAGGGTGAAGGGGGTGCAGGGTAGCAGCCGGCTTTGCCTGCACTTCCCAGCCGGGTGCCCCCAGCCTTTAGCCCCGCCCTTGAACCAGGGCCTCCGGTCGCTTCCGCCCCGAAGCCAGACCCCGCCCATTCTCGCGGTACCTTCAGGGATAGAAAGAGAGGAGGTTTCGCGGCGGATTTCTGGGCGCTGGTTACCCACCTTGCCACCAGTCTTTTTCCTCCCGTTTCTCCGCCCCTGGGCATCTGGAACCTCAAACCTGAAGAAGCTGCAGTGCACCGGATTCCGATATCTTGAGAACTGGTGTATGCAAAAAAAAAAAAGTACCGCCTGGCCAGGGTGTTGGACCTTCGCCGGCTGGCGCCCCCTAGAGGCTGGCAGACCTAGCTGGCGCTATTCCCCACGCCCATATGCAGGTAGCTGCACGCATGCGCACTGCTCAATGCTTAGGCTCTCCTTTGTACGCAGGCGCGCTGGTGCAGTTGCACAGTTGAGTCTCGGCACGCTTTTGTGTCCTGACTTATGTGAGGATCGATCCTTCCTTAGTGCAAAGTCATTTATAACCTCTCACGTGGAGTATTCGCTCCCAACCGTGTAAGCCTTCTAGTTGGCACAAGCATTGTAATCTCCAGTTTTTAAAGAGGTGGGGAGCCGCGCACGGTAGCCCGAGCCGGTAGTCCCTGCGCGCCGGTAGACCCCAGGAGGATGGCCTGAGTCCAGGAGTTCAAAAACAGTCCAAGCAGCATAGCGAGACCCCACTCTCAAGTGGATGGATGGATGGATGGCTGGGAAGTCAAACATACCTGCCCCACGGACAAATAATGCCACTTTGGGACACTTACAAACCGTTTTCCTTCATTATTCTAGGGCTGTATGACCTTGGCAACTTACCTAACCTCTCTGAGCTTCAACTTCTTTGTCTGTTCAACAGGGGCAATACCAATACCAAAGTACTGTTGAAAGGGTTGAATAATTAATTTAGAGTGCTTAGGGCAAGTGCTCTGCTTAGGGTAGTCCTCCAATGACTTTTTTTTTTTTTTTTTTTTTTGAGACGGAGTCTGGCTCTGTCGACCAGGCTGGAGGTGAGAGGTGAAGACGGCAATCTCAGCTTACTGCAACCTATGCCTCCCAGGTTCAAGCCATTCTCCTCCCTCAGCCTCCTGAGTAGCTGGGATTACAGGCACATGCCACCACACCCAGCTAATTTTTGTATTTTTGGTAGAGACGGGGGTTTCACCATGTTGGCCAGGCTGGTCTCGAACTCCTGACCTTGGATGATTCACATGCCTCAGCCTCCCAAAGTGCTGGGATTATAGGCGTGAGCCGCGCCCGACCCTAACTCTTCTTAGTGATTTAAAACCCTGGCTGTTTGGCTGATTGGGTAAGCAGCTACTTGCAAGTTTTAGCCACTGTACACAAATACATCATCGTACCACAGAAGTCTGTGCTAAAGTGTGTTTGTGTGTTTTCTTTTCTTTCTTCTTCTTCTTTTTTTTTTTTTTTTTTTTGTTGTTGTTGTTTTGGTTTGGTTTTGGTTTTGGTTTGAGACAGGGTCTCTCTCTGTGCACCCAGGCTGGAGTGTAGTGGCATGATCACAGCCCACTGCAGCCTCCACATCCTGGGCTTAAGTGATCCTCCTGCCTCAGCCTCCCAGCCAGGACAACTAAAGTGTATTTCACTGCATGTATACAGCTGGATGAGGTAAAGTTAAGTATGAGAGATCTAAGAGTGAGAGGACAAGAGGACTCTTTAGCGAGGCCACTTCTGAAAGGAGGGTTAGAGGGATAGATAATGCTTCTGTTAAGGATTCCTCGTCCTCCATTTCACTCCAAGCTGGTGCTTAGGCGGGGAAGACCCTAGTCCTACCAAATAGGTGGCAGAAGATGTGGTTCCCTCACGTTATTATTTTTCTTTTAAAGGGAAAGAGGGAGTGGGAGACCAAAAGCCTATAGCTCACCCAAATACTAACCAGGCACAACCTTGCTTAGCTTCCAAGATCAGACAGGATTGGGTGTTTTCAGGGTGGTATGGCTATAGACCTCTCATGTTCATAACATTCCAGAGTCCTTAGTTTTGATAAGTTTGGCAAAGGAGTCATACCATCAGTAGGATCCTTTCTGATGGTTACAAATAACAAAAAATTTATATTTGTCCAGACATAAAGGAGGAAAGATAATTTAGAACAAACAACTCCTTCATCCAACATCATATGGCATTGCATCTACATGTTTTCCAGATTAAAAAATAAATATAAATAAATAAAATAAAAATAAATGAAAACAATATTGTATAACCCCCTAGTTTCACCCAGTTTCCCGGAGACACTTATGCCACAGTTTCTGAAAAGTAAGCCAAAGATACAAGTTTGTCTCCTTCCTTCCATTTTGGGTAATTGTTGGTAAGTGAAGTAACAGCTAGGTGGGAAGAAGAAGAAATCGTTGGTCACAAGATAATTCACAATCCATAAAGTGGAAGGATGACCAAATTCTCCAAAACTTGGGTGGCCAAAGAAAGATTCTATTAATACAACTTTGAAAACCGACTTTGAATTCATTACACCCAGATTTGATGTGAACTGAGCATGGATGCCCACCCAGATGCTTGGAGTGGAGGTGGGCAGGTTCAGCGGAGTGCCTAGGAGGGGGTGGGAGGTAAGGGAAGGAGGTAGAGGTACCTCTGAGGGATAATGAAGAGCCTTCACGATGGCTTTCCAAGGCAGTAGGTCCTGTCTTCCAGCTCCCCTCTTGGCTTACTTTTTCTTTTTGGCCTGTACTTTGCTCCATAGTTATCAGCAAGGTGATTATCTGGAAGGCAAGGGGACAAGTGTAGCCAGGGCTGTCATTTTGGAAAACAGTTTGGTAGCTACTCAAAATGTTAAAATTGCAGTTACCATGTGACCCAGCAATTGTACTCCTACAATTAATACAACGAATACAACTGGGGCTGGGCAAGTCCACTGCCACTCTGCCACGTCACCATTTTTTTAAACATCATTATTAAGATGTAATTCGCAAACCACAAAATTTACCCCTTTAAAGTGTACAATTCATTGATTTTTACTACATTCAGAGTTATGCAACCATCATCATAATTTTTTTTTTTTTGAGACAGTCTTACTGTTGCCCAGGCTGGAGTGTAGTAGTGTGATATCGGCTCACTGCAACCTCCACCTCCCAGGTTCAAGTGATTCTCTTGACTCAGCCTCTTGAGTAGCTGGGAATACAGGTGCATGCCACCATTCCCAGCTAATATATATATATATATATATTTTGTAGAGATGGTGTTTCACCATGTTGGCCAGGCTGGTCTTGAACTCTTGATCTCAGGTGATCTGCCTGCGTTGGCCTCTCAAAGTGCTGGGATTACAGGCCTGAGCCACCAAGCCTGCCCATAATTAATTTTAGAAGATTCTCATCACCGCCTAAAAAATCTCCATATCCATTAGCAATTAGTCCTCATTTCAACCCACCTGCTGCAGCGCTTGGCAACCATGAATACACTTTTCTGTATCTATAGGTTTTCTTGCTTGTACTGAATATTTCTTGTAAATAGAATCATACATGTGTGTCCTTTTGCATCTGGCCTTCTGCACTTAGCATGTTTTCAAGGTTCATCCATGTTGTGGCATGTGTCAGTACTTCATTGCTTTTTAACACTGAATAGTATTTCTTTGTACGGATACACTGCATTTGATTTCCCATTTCTCAGTTGATGAACATTCGTGTTTCTACTTTTTAGTTATGAATAAAATTGCTATGAGTTATTCAGGTACAAGGTTTTTATGGCTATAGGCTTGCTTTTCTTTCTTTTTCAACTAGGAGTACAATTGCTGGGTCACATGGCAACTGCAATTTTAACATTTTGAGTAGCTACCAAACTATTTTCCAAAATGACAGCAGCATTTTAAAATCCTACCAGCAGCCGGGCATGATGGCTTACACCTTTAATCCCAGAACTTTGGGATGCTGAGGCAGGAGGATTGCTTGAGCCCAGAAGTTCAAGACTAGCCTGGGCAACAAAGCAAGACCTGGTCTCTACTAAATAAATATATATGCAAATATATATACATTTAGTCAGTCGTGGTGGTGTGCCCTTATAGTCCCAGCTACTCAAGAGGCTGAGGCAAGAGAATTGCTTCAGCCCAGGAGTTTGTACCTAAAGTGAGCGATGATAGCACTTTTTTTTTTTTTCTGGAGCAAGGGAATGCTGAGGGTGGGGTGGCATAAAAATTGTTAAATTAGAATGCCCAAAGTAATGGGAGAGGCTATTTTGTTGTTGCTGTTGTTGTTGTTTAAGAAAGAGAAAAAAGAAAGGAAGAAAAAGGAAGAAAAGAAGAAAAAGAGAGAGAAAGAAAAGAAGAATGAAAGAGAGAAAGAGGAAGAGAAAGAGGGAGAGAGAACAGGAATCTTGCTCTATTGCCCAGGCTAGAATGCAGTCTAAAAATGGGTATTAAAAACCTCTTTTATGCCAATAAATGTGCTTAACAATGGAGACAGGAAGGAATAAGGGAGGAAAATAACAAACAAGCAGCCAACCAGTATTTCATTTAAACCTGTGAAATGCTATGCAATTGCTGAGGAGTGATTTACTTCCAATTTTGTGGTCACTATTAAAATAGGTGTGATGTGATACTGAGAAAAATGTATGTTTTGTGGATTTGGGGTGGAGAGTTCTGTAAATGTTTATTAAGTTTACTTATTCCAGGTCTGAATTCAAGTCCTGGATATCCTTGTTAATTTTCTGTCTTGTTGATCTGTCTAATATTGACAATGTAGTGTTAAAGTCTCCCACTATTATTATGTGGGAGTCTAAGTCTCTTTGTAAGTCATTAAGAACTTGCCTTATGTATCTGGGTGTTCCTGTATTGGGTGCGTATATATTTAGGATCATTAGCTCTTCTTGTTGCATTGATCCTTTTACCATTATGTAATGTCCTTCTTTGTCTCTTTTGGTCTTTGTTGCTTTAAAGTCTATTTTATCAGAGACTCAGAGATGAGAATTGCAACTCCTGCTTTTTTTTTTTTTTTTTTTTTTTTTTTGCTCTCCATTTGGTTGGTAAATCTCCCTCCATCCCTTTGTTTTGAGTCTTTGTGTATCCTTGCATGTGA